CAACCTCCTGTCCTTTTCAGCCCAAACATGGTTTGTCTTTTTAATTTTTAAAATTATTATTTATTTGAGAGCATTCATGAGCGTTCCCATTCATTGGTTCACTCTCCAATGTCGCAACAACAGGGATGAATCAGACAGAAATTAGGAGCCAGGAATTCCATCTGGCTGTTCTATGTGGGTGGCAGAGACCCAAGTACTTAAGCCATCAGCTGTTGCCTCCCAGGGTCTGTTTTAGCAGAAAACTGGAGTCAGGAGTTTGAGCTGGGAATCCAATCAAAGCACTCCTAACAGATGTCTTCACCTCTAGGCTAAATGCTTGTCCCTGCTTTTTTTTTTTTAAAGCAACATTCATGATAATTAGGGTTTGTTCCTATGTGGAATGTCTAGTTTTTAAGCCAGTGTATGGAGGGCAATCCCAGACATGGTCCATTCTGCTTCATGCACAGCATCACAAGGAGATGATGTTCTTCCTCCATCTCCTCTATCAAGATGCTTTTCAAACTTGTGTGCAGAAAGGAAGACAGAGCAGAAAGGGGACATTCATTGCCTAGGCTGCATTGTGTCCCCTCGCCCTCAGATTTCTGGGTTAAAGTCATGACCCACAGGACTTCAGACTGTGACCTTCTTTGGGAAGAGGTTATTAGGTGGTAAGTTAGGATGAGTTTATACTGGAGCATGGTGGACCAGAATCCCATATGGAGGAGGTCCTTATGAAAAGGAGGGATTTGTAACAGATGTGGGCACAGAATGCCATGTGAAATTGAAGGCAGCGATCAGGGTGGGGTGTTCACAAGCCAGGGACCCCACAGACTGCCAGGAAACCAGCGGGAACTAGGAGAGAGGCCAGGAACAGATTGCTCCCCACAGCCCTTGGAAGGAGCCAGCCCTGCTGAGCTTGGTCTCAGACCCGCAGCCTCCAGAACCCTGAGACAGTGCCGTTGGTTGGGTCATTCAAAGCCACTCAGGGTGTGGTGCTTTGTTATGGCAGCCCCAGAAAACTAAATTAATGGACATCAGACATTCTTTTTCAAATGCAGTCTGGCAGCCAAAATGAGTCAAAGGCTAATGCAACCATTTACAAAATACTTGGTGACATAAGGCTACAGCACATTCTTTCAGGATTTTTCATGAACTCCTGGGGCCACATTTTATAGCTAATTTACTCAGACCCATAAGCAGGCTCTGCTGTCAGAGAAATCACAAGGATAAATAGAAACCCAGTCCCTGGATACTGTAGAACAGAGACCATGGGACTAACTGCACATGAATCTTATAGCACCGATCACTTGTGTTACACACACCTTGAAGGTCCATGAAAAAATGGAAATAAAGGAGAAGTTCATTTTTTTCTGCAAAAAATTTTGAAATCCATGCATGGATTTTTCATAATGTGTATTTTCCATAACTTTTTGAAGACCTCCTTATATATATGGATTTTATTTTTTTAATACCAAAACAAACTTATCTTTTAGTCCCATTTTTCTATGACTTTAAAATTATGTTTGAAAGGCAGATATATATCTATATCTATATCTATACATATGGAGAGAGAGAGAGAGAGAGAGAGAATGAATGCTGGTTCATTCCTCCAGTACATGCAACTCCTGAGGCTGGGCCAGGCTGAAGCCACAATCCAGGAACTTGATTCGGGTCTCCCACACTTATGCCAGGGACTCATTCACTTGAACCATCACCTGCCACTTCTCAGGGTGTGCAATGGCAGGAAGCTGGAATCAGGAGAGGAGCCGGGACTTGAACCCCAGCACTCTGGTATGGCACGTGGGCATCCCAAGCAGCGTCATAACCACTATGCCAAATGTCTGGCCCCCTGAACTTTTTGAAGCACCCTCATATGTCTGTGTGTCACCCTGAATAAGACCATGTTTCTCTAGGGCTGGCTGAGGCCCTGGCCATGGTAGTCTTCTGTCTTCACATGGTACCCAGTGATTGAACCAGAAAAGACACTAGGAAATGTACAAATGAGGGACTGAATGGATACATATACTTCTGTTCTCTCTCCATTTGGCCTTGGACACCAGCACTCCCTCTCCTAGTCTCTATAGTGAAACATGGCAGATCCCTGCACTCCAGCACAGGGAATGATAAAGCCTGAGCTTATCACTGCATTCTGTACCCAGGCCATGGTACTGATTTCTAGAATCTGTACTACAGGTTATGGGAACTTTAAGAAATGGGGAGCAGCTGGTGCCACGGCTCACTAGGCTAATCCTCCGCCTTGCGCGCCGGCACACCGGGTTCTAGTCCCGGTTGGGGTGCCGGATTCTGTCCCGGTTGCCCCTCTTCCAGGCCAGCTCTCTGCTGTGGCCTGGGAAGGCAGTGGAGGATGGCCCAAGTGCTTGGGCCCTGCACCTGCATGGGAGACCAGGAGAAGCACCTGGCTCCTGGCTTCGGATCAGCGCGGTGCGCCGGCTGCAGGGCGCCGGCCGCGGTGACCATTGGAGGGTGAACCAGCGGCAAAGGAAGACCTTTCTCTCTGTCTCTCTCTCTCACTGTCCACTCTGCCTGTCAAAAAAAAAAAAAAAAGAAAAAAGAAAAAAAAAGAAAAAAAAAGAAATGGGGAGCATCTTAAAACCCGACAAACAATAACTCCTCCTTCCTCTCTCCACCCCATGCCACTTTGTTTTCATGAATTTGACTCCTTTTGGATCTCATAGGAGTTACACAGTATTTGTCCTGTGACCATCTTCTTTCACTTAGCATAACATCTTCAAGTTCATTGGTGTTGTATCATGTGTCAGGATTTCCTTCCTTTCTAAGGATGACTAATACTCTGTTGTACCGACTGACCACATCTTGTTTATCCATGCAGCTACTGATGGGTACTTAGGTTGCTTCCTTTTGATTATTGTGAATCACACTGCTTTGCACTTATATGTGTACATGTTTGAGTCCCTGCTTTCCATTCTTTTTGGTATTCAAGTATACTTCAAAATGCTCGTTAAGAGACAGAATTAAAAGGTAAGTTTATTTTGATGCAACAATTTGAAATTCAGGGGCTAGTGCTGTGGCATAGTGGGTTAAGCTGCCACCTGCAACACTGGCACCCCATATCAGTGCCAGTTAAAGTCTCAGCTGCTCTGATTTTGATCCAGCTTCCTGCAAATGCACCTGGGAAAGTAATAGAAGATGGCCAGTGCTTGGGTCTCTGCACCTGCATGGGAGATCCTGAAAAAGTTCCTGGCTGCTGGCTTTGGCCTGGTTCACCCGCAGCCATTTTGGCCATTTGTGGAGTGAATCAGCAGATGAAGATATCTCTTTCTCCCTCTGTAACTCTGCCTTTCAAATAAAAAAATATTAAAAGTATTTTAATTCCATTTCCATGAACTTTTTGAAGCATCTACACGTTCAGTATGCCAGATCATAGGATAATTTTATTTTTCACTTTTTTGTGGGAACTGCCAGATTGTTTTCCATTGTGCCTGCACCGTTTACCACAACCCACTGTGTACAAGAATTGGATTTTTTGCTGTAACCAGAAGATTTTTCCCTGATACAGATAATCACTCTTTGTCCAAGCCCTGTCTCATCACCAGCTGTCACTCCCTGAGCAACACCCTCTAGTCTATTAAAACAATTAACTCCCAGCTGTATAGAAACATACATCAAACGTGCTTCTGCCTCCCCTAAGTTTTTAGTAGCAGTCCCATCCGTTTAGATGCTTTCTCCTGGTCACATTCACTATCCTAGAACATATCATGGGGGATCTCCTGGGATAGGTTTCCAGATAGATGCCCTGCTTTGGTTACTAAGAGTCCCTGAGAAGCCCCGGCACTCTTGGCCATCCCAGCCTAGGCATCTAATGACAGCTGCACAAGGCCGGCCTGCTCGGGCCCCACGAGGCATGTGCTCAGTCCCTTGATGCGGAAGGAGCAGAGGAGGAAAGAATGGCAGTGGTTCTGCACCTGCAGGGGGAGGGCCTGGAGACCTCACGCCCTGACATCCTTGAGGAGGCCTGATCTCCATCTGGGTGAAGCCCCCATGAAAGAAAGGGAGGTACCAGGTGGGCTTTAGTGTCCCATTAACTTCCATGCAAGCGCTGTGTCTCTCTGATAATCACATATGCACAGAAATGAGAGGTCCAAGAACCAAAAGGCCTGGGAGGGAAGCCTGAGAGGTTCATGGTGAGCAAGGTGAGACCTAACCATAGGCAGTACCCACCATCATGGCAAGAACCACAAAAGAGCAGACAATACTTTAGACCATATTTTAAAAAGGTCAGCCTTAATGCATAAAAGTGAGAAATAAGATTCAAGAGATGGGGGTTGACTTCAAATCCTGATTCTCATCTTCCATGTCTTCTGGTCTTTCAAATTCATAAAATACACCTGCTAGTCATCCTTCTGGGGAGAGGTATGAGCAGGTGGGACTGGTGGGGGGTGGGGTCCCTATCAATCATCTCCTCTTTCCCATGGCCATAGTCCTGTGCCATTGGCATCCCTTCCTCTGGAGCTGATCGCTTCCCAGGCAGCAGCCTTCTCTGCCGTGGTCTCCATTCAGTGAGGGCAGGTGGAAGTGGCTCACAAGCTGTAGTGCACTGCAAGATATCCAAGGGACTTCAAAACATTTGTGGAAAATGGGAATAAAAGATACGCTTATTTTGGTGCAAAAGTTTTTGAAATTCACAATTTTTCTTTCATAATGTTCATTTTCCACGAACATTTTGAAGACCCTCATAGAGTATGGCCCGGAGTGTAGACTAAGGGGACAGCTCTGGAGCGAGAGTGGTTGGGTGCAAATCTCACACAGTGATTTGTTTTCCATGATGTGAGCAGCTTAGCCTCTCAGTGCTTCAATTTCCTCCTCCTAGAAGATGGTTAATAGTAGCTTGTCACAGATTGCTGTGACACTTAGCCCATTCTCACTGTCACAGTTGATTAGAAAACTGCAGTAAGTTCTAATCAAAGCCTGGTACTGGAAGTAGGACTAGAACAGTCACTGCAAAACCCTGCTTCCTCTTTACTCTCCACACATCCACCTACCTGCCCGGGGCCTACATACAGACAGGTCGCATTGTCGTGGCAGCCACCTGCGCCAGGTAGCAGGCAATTGTTGATCTCCCAGCAGTCTCTTCCATTCCCTGTCCACCCCTGCTGGCACACACAGGCGTGTGTCCCTGTGCCGGTTTTGATGCATTCCGCCTGCAGGAGAAGAAGAAAAAGCAAAACCCTGACACCTCAGTCCAGCCACATAATTAACAAACCCAAGAGGATTTCCAGAAGTGCATTGTGGAAACATACAAATGCATGGAGATCAATGAAAAGATTGATCACTTAAGGAGCAAAATTGCTTGGAGCTGTCCAGCTACTGACTACTTCCACATGCATCACTCTTATTTAAAAAGCCAGGTACTACTTTTGTTTTGCAAGTATAAACAATGATCTTGGGGAGGATAATTCTTATATATCTATTTTACAGAGAAGGAGCAGGGGTTGTTCAAGATCACACAGCTATGAAGAGGCAGGAACCCAGGTCTCTTCACTACAAGGTTAACACTGTAGCTCCTCACCACCAGATCGACTTCCAGGCCTGGGAGGAGGACCACACCAGGAGGCTGAAGCACAGGGTAGGAAGGCGAGCAAGAGGCACAAGGTATGTTGTTGGGATGAGGCTGGGGTGGGACTTGCCCCAGAGGAGTCTGGTGGGCTGGGACGGGACACGTGTGTCTGGATTTTACTCTGAGAGCCAGACAAAGCTCCTAAAGGGGTTTAAGCCCGAAAGAAACATGATCTGATTCACGTCATGCTGTTCTGGCTGGGGGTGGACAAGGTGTTTTAAGAGGCAAGAGAGGAGGCAGAGGGGAATTGTAGGGAAGGAATGAAGAGAAGGAGGCTCAGGTGGTGCTGGGAATCTTTGAAAGATATAAGTGGAAAACAGTGGTTGACGATATTCCTAGTGACAACAGAATGCAGGACAAGTCAGTGAACGTCTCTGTTTCCTAGTCAGTAAAATGGGTTAACAGTTTCTACTTCATCGGGTTGGTGGGAGGAGCAAACAACATTGGGTATGTTAAAGTCTCCTGTAGCTGTCAAGTTGGGATGGAGAGTTATCGCTGGTCTCCATTGTCCAGGTCTGACCCTGTTTTTAAGAGCACAGAGTCCCCTGCCTCTCCGGATTTAGGAAGCTGGGGCTCAAGGCAAGCACCTGGCAGCTGCCTCTAAAATTAGATTCCAACACAAGTGCTTCACCCCTATGGAAAGTGATCAGACACTACTTGCGGAATGTCTTCGCCCAGGATTTCCTCAAAAACACCAGGCAGTCTGGAAATAAAGACCAACACTCACATTAGGGCTGCAGCCTCCTGGGGTTAATCCCATGCAGGGGTCCATCTCTGAACAGAGGATTCCATCCCCTTCGTAGCCAGCTTTGCACACACAGCTGCAAAGGAGAGTGTACAAAATCAGCCACACACACACAAGTGCCACCTCCTTAGAAGAGGACCAGCCAGCCAGAGACGGGCCAGGTCATGGCCAGGGGACTTGACAAGCGCCCTGGTGGTGGGAGGGGCCAGTGTTCAAAGGTGGTAGGGGTGCTTCTGCAGCCAGGACATCAGGGTGGGGATCCAGGCCCACCTCTCAGCAGTTGTGTGACCCTACCAGAATCCCTTAACAATGGCTTCCCCATGTGAAAAGTGTGTCTTCCAGCTCCCACATGATAAGGTTGTGGCGAGGATTCAATGAGCAAGTGCCCATGGAGTGGCAGGCAGAGCACCTGCATCTTGTTGGACCAGAGCCTGACTCTATAATTCTTTCTGCTGAAAGCTGGTTATTAACTGGCTCAACAGAGAGCAGGCAACTCTCTACTCTCTCTTCTGGGTGACAACTCTTGAGATATTTGAAAATGACAGTGAGGGGAGACTTCTCCGTCCCCTCAGATCCATTCCCACCCCAAAACACAAGATCCTCAGATGCTTCATTCCGTAAGTTGTTTTTAGAAACGTGGTTTTCTCTCATTTTACATACTCCTCTCAATACGTCCCCTGGTGATACTTTGACCATAAAATGTGGGCCATTCATTCATTTATTTGTTGAACCAACATGTATTCAGCATTCTGTGACAGATGCTGTGTGGCCGCGTCCTACCCCTACATCCAACCACAAGTTCAGTCATATGTGCTTCACTAAAATAAAAAGTACTGGGGCCAGCACTGTGGCGTAGAAGGTTAAGCATCTGTCTGCAGTGTTGGATCCCATATAGGAGCCAGTTCAAATCCTGGCTGTTCCACTTCCTATCCAGCTCCTTGCTAATGTGCCTGGAAAAGCTGCAGAAGATGGCCCAAGTCCTTGGGCCCATGCACCCAAGTGGGAGACAGGGAAGAATTTGCAGGCTCCTGGCTTTGGCCTGGCTCAGTCACAGCCATGGCAGCCATTGGAGCATGAAGCAGTGGATGGAAAATCGATCTCTCTCTCTCCCCTTCTATCTCTTTCAAATAAATAAATCTTTAAAAAATAAAACAAATTTCATGCATCAACATGTCTTGAAGGAGCTATGTACTTATCTGGTGTTCAAATGAAGGCAGGGGTTCATGGGTTCAGTATTTCTGGGTGAGTTAAGAGGAGTCAAGGGTAGTTTTGATAACATGCAATTTGTGCCTAATGGACACATGTTGATGCAAATTCCCTAGGAGGATGCTTCTCTGCGTGTGCCAGGGCATTTTGGGTGGTCCGTGCCTTTGAGCAGGTATTCCAGAAGAGGCAGGGGTCCTGGGCATCTTCTCCCAGACCCACTGCAGTTGAGAGGCAGTGTCATAGCAACCACAGAAACCCACCCACTAAAGACACAACTCCCTGGGTGAGACCTTAAGCAGGGGAGTGGCTACTCCAGCCTTGGGGGGTGAGGGTGCTTTCAGAGGTTGGAAAGCTGGAAGCTGGCAGGCAATCTGCCTTTCTGTCGCAGGTGTGAGGATGACAAGGATGGCTTCCGTGCTGGAATACCCGGGACGGGGCATGGCTGGTGCCGGGTGCTTTCCCATTGGGTTCTGATCTTCATCGCTGCCCTGCTAGGCAGCGGTCATCCTCCTCATGGTAGCCCCATGGGCTACATCACTTGCCCAAAGTCACGGTGTCGGGAAGGTCAAGGCAGGGGGTGCTGCTCATTGAACCCTGCTCAGGCCGAGCTGCTTTCCACGGAGGCTACATCGCCCGCTTCTGGCAGTGACGGGGTCTGGAAGTGGCCTGGCTCTGCGAAGGCTCTCTGTGAGCTGTGGACTGCTGCAGGCCTTCCCCTGGCAGACCTACCTGGCTGTCCCATTGCTGTATTCACAGGTGGCGTGGATGTGACAGAACTGCACGTAAGGCCCGCAGGCTGAGGGCTGCTTGTCACAGAACTTCCCGGTGGAGCCGTCCCTGCACGTGCCTGAGAGGCAGGACCCATCGCTGTCGATCCTGTTATCGCACGTTCCGTGAGCACACAGGCATTCTGAAAGACAAGCAAGAGGGCCATGCGGGGCCGGGGGAACAGCCCAGCACGGGCTGCCTCCAGTCACCCCTGCCTCACATCAGTAACAGCAAAGCCGTGGTGTGGCTCAGGCTGCTGCTGCTTAGGGTCTTGAGGTTTTCTCCATGGGCCTGTCCCACCCTGGAAGAGAAGGGCTTGGTCTCAGGGAGCTGCGTATGCATGTGTGGGGGCCACAGTGGAGGCCACAGGGAGGCCGAGATGTGTGAAACAGGCCAAGGGACCCAATGCTCTAGCACTTCGTGGTAGAGAGTTTACCTGTCCATGAAGACATTCTGAAACAAATACAAGCTATTCCTCATGCTGGTATGGCCTGGAGTGTGGCTCATGTGTTTGTTCTTTGTCTTCACACTGATAACCAATGGCCAGTGTTTGGGGTCCTGGCTTCATTCAAGGCACTGGGTCAGCCATTCACAGGCCACCACCTCCTTAATGATCAGTGGTCTCAGGAGGTAGAGACTTTCCTAACACCCATTTTCCAGGTGAGGAAACTGAGGCCCAGGGAGGTGGAGCTAATTGCCCGATTTGCTGTCAAGTTCCCAAGCAGGGACTTGAACCAGGGCCTTCAAAGTCCAGTTCTGTTAGCAGCTACGTATCAAGATAATAGATCATTATATTAACTGGCATTTCCCCATCCCCAACAGCATCACGAACTGCTTCTGGACTTGCTCCTGCTTCTGGGTGTGTAGTAGCTGTAACAGCCTATGGGACTGGAAGGATGGCACAGAGGCCCGCAAAGGAGTATGGCAAGGGTTTGGGGGCTGAAATACGATCAGAAAGGAAGGACTCTGGGGTTGCTCCAGAAGGGACTGATAACAGGAGAGGAACTGGTGTGGGTGGTTGACCCCAATGCCCAGGACAGAGAAGGCAGACCCACTGCTTTCCCAGGTGCATTAGCAGGGAGCTGGATTTGAAGTAGAGCAGTTGGGACTTGAACCAATGCTCATATGGGATGCTAGTGTTGTAGGTAGCAGCTTAACCTGCTACACCACATGCCAGTGGTGGAAGACCACCACTGGATTGAACATAAAGGGTTTTCACAACATTGTGAGTAGGTCAAGGCAGAATTTGCAAAGACAAGACACCCCTGTGAGATATTGGGCAGTCACAGATCTGGGACAAAAGACATTCAAGCCAGAAGCCCAACAATGTCCTTACCCATAGTTTGGGCATAGAATGTGAGCATCATGAAGCCCTAGAATAAAGTCTTCTTTTTGTCTCGGGGATCTTGTGTTTTCCAAATTTACTTATTGGGGGTGTGGGTGAGGGTGGCTGTAGAGACAAGAGATACTGAGAGTGTGTGAGCTCCCATTGGCTGGTTCATTTCCCAAATGTCCACATGGCTGGAACTAGGGCTTGGACCTGGCTGGAACCAGGAGCCAGGAAAATTCAACCCATGCCTTCCACGTGGGTGGCAGGGACCCAAGCACTTGAGCCATACCTGCTGCCTCTGGAGGCTTTATTAGCAGAAAGTTGGGAATTGAACCCAGGCTCTCAGATGTGTGTGTCTTAAATGCCAGGCCAAACACCTGCCCCATAAGAAATATCATTTGGCATAAAAGAACAGCAGAACAGAATTCAGCAGCCCTGCCCCTGCTGCACCCTGGTTTCCTGTCTGTCTTGGGAGGTCCCTGTGAGGAGGAAACAAGGTAAGAGGCTGTTTGTGACAAGTGTGTGAAGTCAGTAGTGACAGTGAGGAGTGGCTTTCTTTCTTTTTTTTTTGACAGGCAGAATGGACAGTGAGAGAGAGAGAGACAGAGAGAAAGGTCTTCCTTTTGCTGTTGGTTCACCCTCCAATGGCCGCCATGGGCGGCATGCTGTGGCCGGCACACCACGCTGATCCGATGGCAGGAGCCAGGTGCTTCTCCTGGTCTCCCATGGGGTTCAGGGCCAAAGCACCTGGGCCATCCTCCACTGCACTCCCTGGCCACAGCAGGGAGCTGGCCTGGAAGAGGGCCAACCGGGACAGAATCCGGCATCCCGACCAGGACTAGAACCTGGTGTGCCGGTGCCGCAAGGCGGGGGATTAGCCTAGTGAGCCGTGGTGCTGGCCCAGGAGTGGCTTTCTTATTGAGGACTTGCCAGCTACAAACCCCAGATTATAATATAACTTAATCCTGTCAACAAGCTCTGGGGCAGGTACAGTCAGCCCCCCATAAAGGTGGATTTGCCTTCTGGGATTTGATCAACCATGGATCAAAACCATCCAAAAAAAAGAAAACATTGCATCTATACTGTACATGTATGGGCATTTTTGGTCATTACTCCATAAATGATACAGCACACCAAGAACTTATTGAGCATTCACATTGTATTAGGCATTACAAAGATGTAGAGATGACTAGAGGTCAAAGGGAGGAGTGTACAGGTTGTACGGGAGCACCGTGTCCTTCCACACAAGGGAGTTGAGCGCCTGTGGATTGTGCTGGTGGCAGGGGCGAAGCAACCATCCCCCCTTCCCTGGAGGACAGCTGTCATTCTCACCTTCTAGATGGAGAAACAGGCAACTTTTTCTAAGCCAGGGAATTGCAGAGTGGGGATTTATCTCCAGGTGGTCTGACTCCCCAGCAAACTCCAAGCCATGCATTTTACTCTATTGCTAAGTTTTAATTTTAGCTTCGGAATATATATCTAAAAATACATGTTTAAATACATACAGGAGGTCATTCCAAAGAATATAAAGCGGGGGCTGACATTGTAGCTCAGCAGGTTAAGATGCTGCCTAAGTTGCTGGTATCTCATACGGGCACCAGTTCGAGTCCTGGCTGCTCCATTTCGGACCCAGCTATCTGCACCTGGGAAATCAGCAGAGGATGCCCTAAGTGCTTGGGCCCTGCACCCACGTGGGAGACCTGGATGGAGTCCCAGGCTCCTGGCTTCAGCCTGGCCCAGCCCCAGCTGTTGTGATCATTTCAGGAGTGAGCCAGTAGTTGGAAGATCTCTGTGTCTCTCCCACTCTCTAACTCTGCCTCCGAAATTAATACATAAATAAGAGAACATAATGCACTTTTCAAAGGTTATATAATGGTATTTTTAAAACGCTGCCATTGGGGAACTTTCAGGTCTACAAGCTTCTTGGTATCATGTCATTGCACTTAGAATGAGACCAACAGCAATAATAAATAACGATGATAGCATTTTTGTGGCACACACTATGTGTTGGGGCATTGTTCTAAGGCCAGTGCTTTCCATCTGTAACTTGTATTAACCTTACAAAGCAGTTGCTATTGTGCCATTCCTATATTACAGATGAAGCAACTCGTCTAGAGAAGTACAGCAACTTGTCCAAGGTCACGCATCTTACAAATGCAGGAGCTGATGGGAGAGGACCACTTAAGATGTAGAGTGCGTGTCCAATTCTTGATTCAGAACCCACGCTCACTGTAGGTAGGTGGAGACACCTGCAGAGGGAGGCTTTCACAGTGTGGTTCCAGGACCAGCAGTATTTGCACCTTCAGGGAACTCATCAGAAATGCAAATTCTCAGGCCCACCCTGGGCAGCCTGAATCAGCAACTCTGCGGGTGGGACAGAGCCATCTGGCCTCAGCTATGGCTGAGAGCAGCAGGTGAGGATGGTGTCCCCTGTGCAGCGGGGTCACAGATGCTGGGCCAGTGTCCTTGGCGACTGTGGTGTGAGAAGGATCGGGGGGGGGGAAGGATGCTCTGGAGGTGCCACTTACTTTGGTCACAACGAGGTCCATATTTCTGGGGATCGGAGCAGAACTGACAGCGGGAGCCTTGGAAGCCGTCCTCGCAGATGCATGTCCCGTTGCCATCGAGGCCATCTGCACACTGGGAGCAAAGGCAGGCTGTTGGACACATGGCAGCACAGAGTCCAGGGCTCAGACCCAAGCCCACTTGAAAGGACCCTTGGAGTCTCCTTGTGAGAAGTGGCCTCGTCTTGGTACCAAGCGGGATGCTGGACGGGGAGGAACTTGGGCACCTGGAACCAGGATTTAGAACTAGAAGGAAGATCACTCAAGGGAGACCCACTGGGGTGGCAGTGATGAGACAGGGACCTGCACAGTGAGAGCCTGACCTTCGTCTCTACTTTCTCACACACTCTGCAACTCTGAAGTGCAGTGCGGGAATCAGATCTGCCTTCACCTCCCCAGCGACAGCGAGGCCAGATTTCTGTGGATCGGTGGGCAGCAGAGTTGGGCATGGCTGCCTCTCCAGCCGCTTGGCCACAGGCATTGTTATTGGCTGTTCTCATCCACATGGTGCCCCTTACTCTAGGTTGTAGGGTTTTCCTTTCCTCTTGAAAAGCTCTATTATAGATATGGGTTTATTCAAAGCCAGAACTATGATTTCCCTATAAGAATCACAGCTATGTTTACTTGCAAGTGTTTGGCCTTTATATTTCACTTGGTTTTGCAGATTTTTAAAGCAATTATTGGGGAACATATATGGGACCTTGGAGATGAATGCAGGCCAGCTCTCACTTCTTACACAGGACAGTGAGGTTCAGAAAGCCTTGAGGGAGGTGCCCAAGGTCTGCCCTGGCAGCAGGAGAGCACAGTCGCTGGGCCTCCCTGGCCCTGGCCCCGGCCTCAGACCAAGATTCTTTGTATTGCAGAGATCTTCTGGTTTTGGTTTTCAGTAACTGGTCTATTTCTTTTTCTTTTTAAAGCAATAAATATTTCTTTATTTGGAAAGCAAAGAGACAGAGATCTCCCATTTGTTGGTTCACTCCCAATGCCCACAATAGGCAGGGCTGGGCCAGGCCAGAGCCAGGAGCTGGGACCTCCTTTTGGGTCTTCTTTGCAGGTGCCAGGGAGCCGAGCCCTTGAGCCACTCTCACCTGCTCCCTCCCAGGATGTGCAGCAGCAGGAAACGGGATCTGGGAGCAGAGCCAGCACTCAAAAGCCCAGGCACTCAGAAACGGGCTGCGGGTGACCCAAGCGACAGCCCAGCTGCTGTGCCAAGTGTCCAGCCTCTAATTTCTTTCTTTCACTTTCTGGGAATAGTTATGGGCACCATACTGCTTTTCTGATTTAACAGTTTCAAAAATGACCAGGTGACTTGGCTTAAGAAGGTCCAACCTCTAGATGATTTGGTTTAAGAAAGAGCAACCTCCAACGCTCATGAGAAATTGTGCATCGGGACTGTCCCTCTCACCTGGCCATTTCCCGAGCATGGATTCGAGAAGCCTCCTGGGCACTGGCTGCAGTCGGGCCCATAGAAGCCTTTGCAGCACTTTGGCACCTGAGGAACAAAACGCATGTTGTCCTGTGAAATTCCACGCAGAGTGCCCATTCCTCAAAGGAAGTGCTGTCTATATACTTACATTTTACTTATTTATCTATCTTGAAGGGTAGAGAGACACAGGGCTGGGGTAGGAGGTGGGCAGAGAGAGAGAGAGAGAACGAGAGAGAAAGAACAAGCTAGAGTGAGCAAGAGAGAGAGAGAGAGGGGGAGAGGGAGAGAGAGAGAGATTGATACTATCTACTGATTTACTCTCCAAATGCCTGCAATGGCCAGGGCTGGGCCAGGCTGAAGCCAGGAGCTGGGAACTCATTCCAGGTCTCCCACATGGGTGGCAGAGCCTCAGCTGTTTGCAACATGACTCCTGCCCCCAGGGTGTGCATTGGTGGGAAGCTGGAATTGGCAGCAGAGGTGAGGATAGAACGCAGGCACTCTGATGTGAGATTTGGGTCTCCCCTAAGCGGTGTCTTGCCACTGTGCTTAGCACCTGCCTCGGAAAATAGACTTGACTTTCCATGATTGGAACTGATGAGCTTGCTTCTTCCTTTTTGCAGGTGACTTCATGGTTAGCGCCCAGTGTCCTGGCTAGCACAAATCTCCTGCACACCTCCCTGGCGGCCAGTCTGTCCCTACACCTTACAGACCAGGCTGAGGAGGGTCCGTGCTGTCAGAGCACATATGTGTAAATTCAAAACAAATACACATTGTTTCAGAGGCTGGTAAGGGATGGGGAAATGGCAATGTAATAAGGTGGTGGGGGTCAGGGGTCACATTGGGGGAGGCTGGGGAGGCCACTGCAGATCAGGGAGTGGGGGAGGGACAGGAGGCAAGTGTGTGCTCTGAGGTAGGAGACAGGTCAGTGTCAAGGGCAGAGGGCGGGCTGTGTGGGAGGCGTCGAGTGTAGGCTCTGTGCTGAGAGGGACAGAGAACCATAGGAGGGAATGACAGAGGAAGGGATGACCCGGCCACCAGGCAGAGGCTCCACTGTGTAACTCCCCTGCAGGAAGACACGGCTAAAGCCGCTCCCCTGGCCACCTGCCACCATGCAGACTGTGGCTCAAGAGTGAGGCGCTGGAGCTGCCCAGTGCCAGGGCCTGGACTAGGGCCTCAGCCACGCACTCCTCACCTTCACGGTGGCGTTACAGAACCGGGCACAGCCGCTCTTCAGGCTCCTCCTTCTGCTGCTGTAGACGCATTTGTGCGTGAAGAGTGACTGGGGGAATGCCAAGGAGACAGCGTTACAGCCTGCAGTTCAGGTCCTCTGGGTGTCATACAGCCCCTACACACTCTCCAGTCCACTTCCATTTTACCACTGGTGTCAGGAAAGAGCATGAGGCCGTGCCAGCCCAGCTGTGTCCACGTCAGAGCCCTCCCAAGGCCCGTTTCCTTGCAGGTAGAGTGCAGAACAGTGTGTAACACAGGTATCTTTAGGGCCCTCCCATGCCATGGCAGACATCTCCAATGGAGCACAGAACACTGTTCATCCTGGCCTTTCTCCATCTGTAGCTATCCCTAAGCTCCTCTGATATAGACTCTCTTGAGCCAGTTAAGAATCTCTCTCTACTGTGTGGATAGATCCACCAGAAAAAATAGTCACTTGAAGGCTTTCTCCTAGGAGCAGGGACAGATTTCAATGCACCCTTCCATTCTTTAACACCTGGGGCCCACTCATTACTATCCATTTATTGAGAATTCAGCTCAGGGCTGGACACAGTGCACAGATGAGCTCACCAGCCTTTGGCTCTGGGTGGATGCTTTCCATGGCTTTTTTATAGATAAGCACACTGAGGCCCGGGCAGGTGAAAACCAATGTTTCTGGGGGAACACTGCTAGTAAGTATCTGGGCCAGAGAATGCATCCCATTAGCTACCAACTTTAGGATCACAAGCATGACACATAGTCTATGTGGGTGCAAGCTGCCCACTCTGTGAAATGGGACAATAATGTTGATATCAACTTGCACTGTAAATTTTAGGTCCTGGCTCAAATTTTCTTTTCGATCAATATTTATGTTTAGCTTACCACTTTCTCAATAAGGGAGCAATGAGACCTTCCCAGGCTATAAAATCCTAAAATCTTAACTATCCAAAGAGTTTTCATAAAGTTGATAGAAAATACATATTATAAAAAATTACATAGATTAAAAATGTTATTGCACCAAAGCAAACTAATTTTAATTGTTTGTCCATGAACTTTTCAAGGGAGGAGCATTGTGGGGAGCAACTGGGAGCAACTCGGACTAGACTAAGTTACTGGGATTAAGACTTATTCTATGCATCTGCTCTCCCACAATATGGCGCTGAGAAGGGAGTAACAGCTTCTACACGGCTGCCTCCAGTTCAACCAATAAACAGCAGGACCTGCTCCTGATTGGAGGAGAGCAGCGCACTCGGCGTGTGGGTAGCAGAGTTGGGATTGGCGGAAGAGGACTATAAAGGAGGAGAGAGACACCATGCACCAGGAACATCTAGGGGGAACATCTATCCGAATAACACCTGTGCAGCCCCGGAGAGAGCCGGCCGGCGGTGTGCCGCTCCCCCGCGGAAGTGGGGAATGTGGCAGGGGGAACCGCCCTTCCACGGAGGTGGAAGGGTCTGTAGCCAACCCGGGAAGAACCAGCAGCAAACCCGGGGAGGGCCGAGCAGACGAAAGAACAGCGCAGGGTCCTGTGTCGTTCCTCCACGAAGACGGGGAGCGACATAATGGTGCCGTGACTCGGATATGAAGCCTAGGCAGGGTTTAGTGTCGTTCCTCCATGAAGAGGGGGAGCGACAGAGCATTCCAGTCCTCTCCATGGGCCTGGGGATAATGGACCAGGAGTGACTCATGCGATTGTGGGAGGGGTAATCTGGGGACACTGGTTCCTCCCTGCATCTCATTTCCCTTTATTTCCCTGCACCCAGAGAACCTAGCACAGTGGTCAACAGGGATCCAGCCACAGCTCTGCCACATGTCAGCTGTGTGGCCTTGTGCAAGGAGCCTCATGTTTCCTTGTCTCAGTTGCCTAATTATCCAGTAGTTGTGATGATAAAATGCCTGCCGCATAAAGCACTTAGACACACAGCATTCACCGTGAGACCATTTGACATGATCCCCTCCTCTTTCCCCTCTCCAATCCCTGGTTCACAGCAGCCTGAAGCACTCAGGGGGTGGCTTCTTCAAGCAAAGGCATCATCTGAACACCTGCACCTATTTAATTTTAATGTTTTGCTTTGTTAAATACTTCAATAGGATTACACTACAGAGCTTGTTACCTTTCGTAGTGATCTAGTGCTTAATGAGACTTCTGGTGGGGAACTTCTTTCTTATGATGAACTTTGTCATCAATTTTGTGTCGGAACACTTAGCTTTTACTGTCAATTGAATACCTGATATATTAATTATAGATTATTGTTTTATTGGCTATTTTCCTTTTTAGATTGAGCTTCCCAAGACAGACAAAATACTGAATTCATCTCTCTGTCCCACAGACCAAATACTATGTCTAATATATGATCAATCCTCAACATAAACATGCAGACTTCAGTGAAACTGGAGAGCTCTTAATGGTCCCACTATCGTTTCCCTGGTATGTCCTATATTCTCCAGAATAACCTTTGGGTAGAGCAGATAAACACTGGACTTTACTTATGAGGGAAGAGTGGAAAGGAAGCTTTTCTGAGTGACTGCTTGATTTGGGACGTGTGTTTGGGTTTTTATCAGTGCTAATTCTGTTGCTACTATTCTTACTTATGGATGATGAAACTTGGAGGTTAATAGTTAACCAACAAATAAGGATTCAAACAAAGCCTTCTGGGTTCTCTTTCTACCATTCCCCAAACAGTAGGCTCAGAGCTAATCTTCTATTGCCCAAGTTGCAATGAATGTCATTTAAAGAAGGAAAGTAGAAAGGAGGAGAGGCTGGTTCCATGAAGCTGTTACACTCACAGTGGGCACAGAGTTGGCAGGACATTTGCTTTGGTATATCAGGTAACAGCTTGCACAGGTGCCCTGGAAGGAAAGACAGCAGTCAGTGCCAGTGTACCCGTGAGGGAGGGCTGGGTGGTCAGTCCCATGCTTGGCCTTAGGCTTCTCCCTTTCTCTCCATTAGAGTTCCATTCCTGGCTTCTCGCCCACCTCCTACTGACTCCTCTCCTAGAAGGGATGAAGTCAATCCTGGGGCAGGCGGGGGTGGGGGTGGGTGGGAGATGGTGAGGAGCCTGCTTAGGGCAGTCATTTCTACTTCCTCTTTTGCTTCAGAGCCCATCTGTCTACAGGCCTGGCCTTCTGAGCTCTCGGTGTGCAGGCTGGCACCTTCTCTACCAGGTATGAAGTAGTAGCATTGACCACAGACTGAAGCCATGTTCTCCAATGAGCTTAGCAGTAACAAAGCTGAACATTGAGTATATGTCTTTCCAGCTCGTGGGTTCTCCTCCATTGGTTCTGAATCCTGGAGAGAATCCAGTGGTGTGTGTGCCTCTAAATGCCCCCAACTCCATCCTCTGACTTTTTCTACCTGGCTCTGTGCCTCAGCAGGTGGACCAGGAAGGATGGTCTCTTGGGCTTTCTTGCCAGCTTCTGATTGGTTTTGTCCAATTCAAGGCACCATCAGGATGCTGGTGTGTGGGAGAAGGGAGAGGTCCAGAATTACCTGGCCCTATTTCCTCCCTGGTCCAGCACTGTCCCCTGCAGCTCTTGATGCATGGCACCTCTTCCTGTCTTCTCACTCATGATTTCAGGTAACTCCAAAACCTGCCTCTGGGGAATCTTTGGTCCTTCATAGCAATGGTTTCCTGCTGTTGCATCTCTATGCATAACTCAGCATGAGTTGTTTCCTTAGTCCTGCCCTCACCTCCACATCAGCTTCTTCATTAAAATCTCTTCATCTGAACTATCTCGGATAAATTTTTTCCTGAAGGACCAGAACTAAACCTCTAAATTCCAAATGCACATACCCACAGGCAGCTATGGGCTCTGCCTGGTGAAATCTGACACTCCTAGAAGCTGCCACCTGCTCCTACTCTTTGCTAGTCCTAAATACTTTTCAGAGAATGCACTTGGACTTAAAATTTTATTTGTTTGAAAGGAAGAAAGAAAGGGGATGACAGAGGTATTTTCCATCTGCTGGTTTATTCCCCAGAAGTCTGCAACAGATGGGGCTAGGCTAGGGAGAATCCAGGCACTGAGACCTCAATTAGGGTTTCCCACATAGGTGGCAAGAACTCAAGTTATTGAGCCATCACCTGCTGTCTCTTAGGGTGTGCATTAGCAGGAAGTTGAATCAAAATGGAGCCAGGACTTGAACCTAGACACTCTGACATGGGATGCAGACATCCTAAGCAGTACCTTAACCCTTGTGCCAAACCCTTGCATTTGAACTTTTAATAGACCAAATCAAAACTATTCTAAGTCACCCACAGCAGATACTTGGCTTTAAACCTAGGGAAAATAGTACAGGAAGACTTAATTCCAAGGCAGCTGTTGGGAAATTCTTTTCCCTATCCAACTAAAATTCTAAACCCAGATCTTGATTCTGTCCTTAGGGAGATGGAGAGGAAGCCTTTGAATGATCTGAAACAGAATGGTCCTGCAAGAAGACGGGCAGCTGGGGCTGCCCTTGTCCCTCCACAGACTTCCTTCCATGAACTTGACAGACAGCTGCTTGGGGAGAGGACCTCTGAGGAACACACTGAATTATCAATTCCTAGTTCTTTCTTCTTCTCTGTAGGAGCCCTGTTAACATTTTCATCTTTATGCTAGGAGATGAGACTACTTCCCTTGGCCTGCTCTGATGCTCACCTTGGTCTAAGGCAAATGATACACCTGCCAATGCTGTGTGAACCAAACACAAATCACTGCCAGGGAATATCAATGAAAGTGACCTTGTTTCTGCTTCTCTTATAAAGGGGTGCTCAGAATGAGATCATATCCCCCAGCCTGGCACAGAGGACGAGTACCACCTTCAACAGCCTACAGTACGTAAGTCATTATGTCAATCAAGAGCTCTAGAATTTAAAGACTCAGACACACTCCTGTGCCAGGTGCTTAGCTAACTATTTCTAGCTTTTGTTCTAAGAAGGAGGAGTCATAAAATGAGTTTTTCCCATTCAATGTATAAGTTTTAAGGATATCATAGAAAATAAACATTGATGCATTATTGAAGAGTCTTCAAGTGGAAGACCCAGGGCTGTTATTCTTGCAACTTAGGGGCTATGGTTTCTACAGGGATGGAAAGACTGCAGGGACAGCAGTATTGGAACGTGGTGTGCTTTCATAAAAACTGCCTGGGCCAAAAAGTTGCTAAGCAAATATGAACAAACATGAGAGGGCACAGAAGCTCCCAGTAAAACAGAAAGTCTGGTATCTGCAGAAAGAAGGCTGACTTACTAGACCACCTCTATGCATGAAAAAAATTGTTTTAAATAACTCTTAGAGTAAAGCCATGTGCCTGAAGCAAGGTGACCCTGGGTGATGGGGGCAGGGGAAGGAAGAGGTTGGGAGACTGATCCTAAATCCTACAGGGGAAGAAAGCACTGCTCTGACTCTGGGGCACTGGTGCTAGTGGGCTGAATAGGGCTTCTCTGAGAATGTCTGTCGGAAAGTGACCTTATCTGGATATGGGGTCTTTGCAGGTGCAATTAGATAAACTAAGATGATGTCATACTGAACTAGGGTGGGCCCTAAATTCAAGGACTGGTATCTTTAGAAAAAGAGAAAAGTTCACACAGAGACATACACTGGAAGGAAGCCCACATAAAGATGGAGACCTCTGGCCAGAGATCAGAGTGATAAGGCTAGAAGCAAAACAATGTCAAGGATTGTTGGGAGTCATCAGGAATCAGGAAGAAGCAGAGAAGCATCCATCACTAGAGCCTTTGGAGGAAGTAAGGATCCACTGATTGTGGGGACCGATGGGTAGGCCTACCATGGGACCTCTGAGTCAAGGCTTGGCCTGGCAGCCGTGTTGCGTTTGCTAAAGCAGATGTTTTTAGTTTCAGTCCGGATGGTGCTTTCCACCGGATGTAACTGACTAAGAGGGACTTTCCAAAAAGGGTATAGAGTGTTGTAAACAAGTTGGCGCCGAGGACCACACGAAGAGCCTGCCCACCGCGTGACATCTCATTTGATTGGCCCAGGAGCGCATGAACGCCGCGTGAACAGGCATCGGATTGGAGTGCTCCGTGCATGGACTTTAGCCCGCTTCCGATTGGTTGGATTTTGTATGTAAGTCATATACCAAGGAAGGAAGCTCTCTTTTTCCTTCCTCCTTCCTTTCCCTCTACCTCTGTCGCTGTTATTTTCTTAATAAAAGTCTACGGAAGACTGATTAGCTGCGAGTAGCGTTGTTCCTTTGCGGGCAAGGGAGCGACAACTGATGCCTTGATTTCAGATTTCTGGCCTCTAGAACTCTAAAGAGAATCAGTCAATGCTGAGTTCTGCCGCCTGGTTTGTGGTCATTTGTCATGGTGGCCCTAGGAGACCAGTGGACCTGGGAAGCACCTGTCACTGTGGAAATCCCAAGGAACCTTGGTTCTCAACTTCTGAGCCAGGACCTCAGGCCCCACTGTCTCTTCTCTTCCTTCAGGGGTGAGAATCCTGCAGTCAGACACTCCTTGCCTGCTCTCAGAATCTGAGTATTAGAATGTTGTCTGCTCCAGAGGGCTGTTGAGGTCCTTCATCATTTTCCTAGCTTTCTTACCAGTTTAATCTCTCTCTTTATCTCATCGCATCGATGGGGCAGAATCGGGGTGATGGAGGGAGGAATGAGGACTCCAGTCAGTGTGTAAATCCACCCGTTTTTAGCAGCCACCTCAGTTTCTTCGATTGCCACGTCATTTGCCAGAATCTGTCCCTGGAAAGAAGCAATGGCATCTTTCATCCTGTCTTGCAGAAACATCAGCGATTCCCAGGGCAACCTCACCCAGAGCCCTCACTGGTACTCAGCTTCTTCCTGGGTAGAAGATGGCTGGCAGAAGAGCTGGCTGACAGGACAAGATGGAATCTGCTCAACAAATTCTTGATGGACATCGTGCAAGGATCGCTTACAGGAGCTGGGTTGGGCAAGAGGTATAACTACTCCAGCTCCACAATTGGTTTTCTAGGAGACTTTGGGAAACCTGCTTTACATCTCTGTGTCCACTAAATGCATTTATTGACCTTGACTTAGGCGTGGCACTAAGGTTACATCAGTGGACGAGTTCCTGCTTACGTTCTAGTAGAGGGAGCAGGAACTAAACACATTAGCAAACATTTTTTATCTCCACCTTTCCTTAAACCTGCTTTGCGGCAGCATGAATGGCAAGTTTCTCTTTTTGGTTGCTCAACTGAAAAACCCAGGACTTATCCTTGGCTCCCTCTTTATTTACCCCTCAGCAAAGTCTGTCTTTTTCACTGTGAACCCTGGTAGCGAGTGCAGACTCTTGCACATGTGGTTGCTTAGCAGGTGTCTGCTGAAAGGAGCAGAAAATGAATGAAGGGACCCCAAGCATTTGAAGCCTGTGCACTGGGGGAAAGGCTGGATAAGCTGATGAGCAGTCATCCTCGGTGCACCTGGCTGACGACCTCGCCTGCAGGTTCCCTACTTACATTGACTGCTGTGTGAAACTGGATGATCTGGTTGGCCATGCTCCTGATTTGAGGGGTTGCAATGAGAGCGGCCACTTTCAGCTGCAAAAAGAAGAGAAGAGCAGAGGCATTCAGCGCAAAGCTTTCTTACAGTCCTCGCTGGAAAAAAAGTCCCTACAAATTTTTCAAAACAAATAACGGGAGTTCTGATGTCACTGGGTTTTGTGGCTTTGAAATTTTCTTTGATAATGGACTCATTAGTCATGGCTGAAGGTTTGTTTGCCTCAGAGCCACAGATAAAGAATAAATGTTACAAATTTCCTAGTATAAAAATAGTGGAATGCAAGACTAGGTCATGTATCTTGAAAGCAGGGGGAAAATAGTAGCAGGAAGAGTTGGCCAACCTGGGTAAATGGGACAATGTGGTATCGGACAAGTTCCAGAAGCTTCCGAGAACCCTGCAAAGAAACCAAAGGACTTCTTTAGTCAATAAAGAAAACACAGCAATCTCCTTCCGTGGGAGTCTCTTCAAATAACTTGGGCACTTAATAAAGAAAAACAAATGACCCATAATATCTTTCTTGGGAAATCCAGAGTGAGTAAAATTCTATCCCCACTCATAAAATTCCCCTGTGTGCAGAGGCTATTCTAAAAATCTAATTTGCACATCCTTTCTAGTCGAAGGCTTTGTGAGGTTGGGGCCATTATCAACCCATTTTATATATGGTATTATTGAGTTTCAATGTCATGTCCAACGTCACAGAGTTAGTCCAGTATATGAGCCCAAGATTTTGCCCAGTCACCGTGCTCCACTACTTCACTGAATGTCGAACATCAGACATGTTCAAAGGTGGTCTCAATTTCACTTGCTCCATAAACAAATACTTGCTGGTTAAGCCACAAACTGGTCATTTAGGAATATATGGCCACAGGGATCCCAACTGCCTTTCTCTTCCTTGAAAAGGACCCTTCCTTCAAAGCTCTTTCCAAGTTTCTTACGTTCAGAAAGCTGAAGCAGCAGTGGGGAAAAAATGAAGATCCTGGGGCACATGGTGGAGGCTGTACACAGAATGAACTTTCCTCACTGAGGTGCTACAGAGGGAGCCTGCAGAGCAGAGGGACAGGAAGATGTCCCTCTTGGAGAAAAAAGATAGTGGAAGTGGGAGGCTTTTTTGCAGTCTGTCTGTCTGTCCTCTCCCAGCTGCACCAGAAATGAGACTTATGAACCTTATAGCCATTCCTACTAAAATCTAGAACCAGACAGGGATGCCCACTCTCACCATTGTTATTCATTATAGTCCAGGAAGTTTTAGCCAGAACCATCAGGCAAGAAAAATAAGTCAAAGGGATACAAACTGGGAAGGATGAAATAAAACTATCCCTATTTGCAGATGACATGATTCTTTATACAGGTGATCTAAAAGACTCCACCAAGAGACTATTGGAACTCATAGAAGAATTTGGTAATGTGGCAGGATATAAAATCAATACTCAAAAATCAACAGCCTTTGTATACACAGACAATGCCATGGCTGAGAAAGAACTTCTAAGATCAATATCATTCACAATAGCTACCAAAAAATCAAATACCTTTGAATAAATATAACCAAGTGGAATGTCAAAGATCCCTCAATGATAATTACAAAACATTAAATAAATAGAACACACACACACACACACAAAACAGAAAATCTTCCACGTTCATGCATTAGAAGAATCAATATCATTAAAATGTCCATACTTCTGAAAGCAATTTACAAATTAAATGTGATACCAATCAAAATACCAAGGACATTCTTCTCAGATCTAGAAAAAATGATGCTGAAATTAATATGGAAATACAGGAGACTCTGAATAGCTAAAGTAATCTTATACAACAGAAACAAAGCTGGAGGCATCACAATACCAGATTTCAAGACATAGTACAGGGCATTTATGATCAAAACAGCCTGGTACTGGTACAAAAACAGATGCATAGACCAATGGAATAGAATAGAAGTGCCAGAAATTAATCCAAGCATCTACAACCAACTTTTATTTGACAAAGGAGCTAAAACCAATCCCTGGAGCAAGAACAGTCTCTTCAACAAATGGTGCTGGGAAAACTAGATCTTCACATACAGAAATATGAAGCAAGACTCTTACCTTACACAAAAATCTACTCAAAATGGATTAAAGACCTAAATCTATGACCCAACACCATCAAATTATTAGAGAACATTGGAGAAACCCTGCAAGACATTTACATAGACCGAGTACTTTGAAAAGACCCCAGAGGCACAGGCAATCAAAGCCAAAAATCAACAAATGGGATTACATTAAATTGAGAAGCTTCTGTCTGACAAAAGAAACACTCAGGAAAGTGAAGAGGCAATTGACAGAATGGGGGAAATTATTTGCAAACTATTAAACTGATAAAGGATTAGTAAACAGAATATATAAAGAGATCAAGAAACTGAACAACAAAACAAACAACTCAGTTAAGAAATGGGCAAAGAACTTAAACATTTTTCAAAAAAGAAAATCCAAATGGCTAACAGACACATGAAAAATGCTCAGGATCACTAGCCATCAGGGAAAAGCAGTGAGGTTTCCCCTCACCCCAGTTAGAATGGCTTTCATAGAGAAATCAACAAACAATAAATGCTGGTGAGGACTTGGGGAAAAAGGTACCCTAATCTGTTGGTGGGAATGTAGACTGGTAAAGCCACTTGGAAGACAGTTTGGAGATACCTCAGAAATCTGAATATAGACCTACCATATGACCCAGCTATCCCACTCCTTGGAACTTACCCAAGGAAAATGAAATCAGTATATGAAAGAGTTATCTGCACCTCTATGTTTATGGCAGTTTAATTCACAATAGCTAAGACATAGAATCAACCCAAATGCCTGTCAACAGAAGACTGGATAAAGAAATTATGGGATACATACACCATGAAATACTACACCATGGCTAAAAATAATGAAATCTGGTCATTTGCAATAAAATGGATGAATCTGGAAAACATACTTAGTAAAATAAACCAGTTTCAAAATGACAAATACCATATGTTCTCCCTGACCTGTGATAGCTAACAGAGCACCTAAAAGGCAATCTGTAGAAGTGAAATTGACACTTTGAGAAGCAATGACTTGAACAGCCCTTGTCTTGATTGTTGAGGAACAGTTTTGTTGTTGTTGTTGAACTCTTTACGTAACAGAATTAATCACAAGTGTATAAAGTCAATTGAAAATAGATCTTAGTAAAATATAAGAGTGAGACTAGGAGAGGGAGGAGGAAGATACATGGGAGTATGGGTGGGAGGGTGGGGAAGAATTATGTTTCTAAAGTTGTAATTATGAAATGTATGATGTTTATAACTGTAAAGCTGTATAGTTCTGCATATATTCCTACAGACTTTTTTTTTTGACAGGCAGAGCTAGTGAGAGAGAGAGACAGAGAGAAAGGTCTTCCTTCTGTTGGTTCACCCCCCAAATGGCCACTATGGCTGGCGTGCTGTACTGATCTGAAGCCAGGAGCCAGGTACTTCTTCCTGGTCTCCCATGCAGGGACAGGGCCCAAGCACTTGGGCCATCCTTCACTGCCCTCCCAGGCCACAGCAGAGAGCTGGACTGGAAGAGGAGCAACCGGGACAGAACTGGTGCCCCAACCGGGACTAGAACCCGGGGTGCCAGCGCCACAGGCAAAGGATTAGCCTAGTGAGCCATGGTGCTGGCCAAGACTTACTTCTAAAGGTACAGTTTAAAAACTTGCCATTTGACCCCAAATCCCCTTAAGCTAGGTAGAAAAAATACCATCTTAAGTGTTAAAGTGATAATATGGATAGGATTGTTAAAGTGATCATATAAATAGGAACAATTGTCTGGCAATAATAGAATTAAAAAGGAGTGAATGCTCCAACATGGAAAACAGTCCACCCAGCCAATTCATGGAATGACAATTGCTTTAAGTAGCACTCTGATCTCAGAATCAGTCTTTAAGTCATTCTGGTCTGGCTGAAAAGCTCATGAGAGCATTTCAGGCAAAGAAAACCAAGACACTGTTGCAAAAAATGTCCTACATGAAGGACCTCAGTGGTTGAGACCCCAGTAGAAAAAAATAGCCATGAAAGAAGGAGGTACTTCTCTCTGAAGGGAGGAGAGAACTTCTACTTTGCTTATGGCCTTGTCTAAATACTGACAAGTTTGTGGATTCAAAAGGCTTCCATAGCCTAGGTAACTAATTTCAAGAGCCTCAAGTGATCACTGACATTATACATAAGAGTGTAAATTGTTGAATTAACAAAAGGAGTCACTGTGCACTAACTTCCCATGTAGAACCTCTGTCCTCCAAGAGTTGTATTATGAGAGTTAAACAAGTAAAACTTGTTCTCAAAGATTTATTTCATTTTAATGTATTAAATGGAGGATATTCTTATGTCTCATAATTAATGGTTATGTCTAAGTGCTCACCAAAGATGTATCATACTTGGGTGTTTCTTTAAAGCTAATTAAGTTTCTTAAAAAAACAAAGTGAAATTAACTTCAAGATGCAGTGACTTTGAACAGCTCATGTCTCGATTGTTGAGGAAGTTTGTCTGTGTGCACAAAATATTGAATTCTTTACTCCATATAGAGTTGATCTTCTGTGTATAAAGTTAATTGAAAATGGATCTTAGTGGAGAATGGGACTGGGGATGGGAGAGGGAGGAAGAGGAGAGAAGGGTGGGAGGGTGGGTGGGAGGGTGGGTATGGTGGGAAGAATCACTATATTCCTAAAGTTGTACTTTTGAAATGCATGAAATTTATATTCCTTAAATAAAAAAAAGTAGGAGGAAGGAGTGCTAGGAGGAGCACTGAGCTGGATGTTAGGAGCCCAAGTTCTTTTTTTTTTTTTTTTTTTAAATTTATTTGACAGAGTTAGACAGTGAGAGAGAGAGAGAGACAGAGAGAAAGGTCTTCCTTCTGTTGGTTCAACCCCCAAATGGCCACTATGGCTGGAGCTACGCCGATCCAAAGCCAGGAGCCAGGTACTTCTTCCTGGTCTCCAATGCGGGTGCAGGTACGCAAGCACTTGGGCCATCCTCCACTGCCTTCCTGGGCCAGAGCAGAGAGCTGGACTGGAAGAGGAGCAACTGAGACTAGAACCCGGCACCCATATGGGATGCAAGTGCCGCAGCCAGAGGATTAACCAAGTGAGCCACAGCGCTGGCCCAGGAGCCCAAGTTCTAATCCTGGTTCTGTTTCTGTGTGACCTTGAGCAAGTCACTTAACCCCTGGGTCTCAGTTTCACCTGCCACATAGAGGACTCGGTGTGGGTCTCTTCCATCCCTCTGGTTCTATAGCAAGGAATTTATCAACTGGACAATAGGCTTCTAAGGCCTCAGGAAGTAATTGGTGTTGGTTCTTCTTCTTCTTTTTTTTAACAATAGAAGAATGAAAGGGACAAGGAGTCAATCACTCTTGCCATCATGTGTGCTCTGCAGTCTTGTCTGGCCAGGGGCCATGGCTCTGACATTCAGTAAGAATCCACCGCAGTCTGGTTCAGATCAACAAGTTGTGCTTGCAGGTGCTGTTGTTGCAGAAGAGCCTTTGGGTGCAGTGCATTCTTTCCCTTGTGGGGACATTCACTTCCCCCTACCCTTTCTGCTTAAGAAAAGGCGCCAGAGGCATAAAGAGAGCTTTATTACCAAATTGTGAAAATGGCCTTAAACTCTGTAAGTGTACCTTTCTCTGTCCTATTTTACTGGCATGGTATCTACCAATTGGCAAAGGCAAGTTTCTTGCTCCCTTTGCTTTTATTTCTATCTGGTTGGGTGACGAAGCCATAACCTGGGGCTTGTGGTCAGTAGCCCTGGGATCTTTGCAGGGATCAGATGGTTTCTGGATGGAAATTTTAGCCTCAGGCAAAAGGCACACTTGATAGAAAACATGTTGTTCTGAAAGCAGAAGGAGAAACCCTTCTGCCAATGAGACCAGTCTCCCCCACCCCACTGGGCATGCTCCTTGGAAAACCCATCATTCCCAGCTACCGTTCTTTCCTGAAGATCATGCTAAAGGATGGTAGTGAGAGGATGGAGGGAGAAGGAGCTGCCTCTTCACTGGAAAACTTTAACCTGCACAGACTGAACCTGGGAGAGAAGCAGAAATGACTGCTGTCCCCCTCACCAAGAAACAGAAGTTGCAACCACTGGATTCCTTGCCCTGGATTCATAGATTTGAAGTTACATCTTTGTTGTGGGTAGAAAGATAACAGCTGGCCAGCGCCACGGCTCACTAGGCTAATCCTCTGCCTTGCTGCATCGGCACACCGGGTTCTAGTCCTGGTCGGGGCGCCGGATTCTGTCCCGGTTGCCCCTCTTCCAGGCCAGCTCTCTGCTGTGGCCCGGGAGTGCAGTGGAGGATGACCCAAGTGCTTGGGCCCTGCACCCCATGGGAGACCAGGATAAGTACCTGGCTCCTGCCATCGCATCAGCGCGGTGCGCCAGCTGCAGCGCGCCAGCCATTGGAAGGTGAACCAATGGCAAAAGGCAGACCTTTCTCTCTGTCTCTCTCTCACTGTTCAAAAAAATAATAATAATAAGATAACAGCCTTTGAAACTATCCTGAGGGCCAGCAGCAGTGTTGAGCTGGTAAAGTGGTTCCACAGGGTGAAGGGGAAGCCCAGGAGTACAGCAGTGGCCCATGGCTAAGGTGCAAATATTCCAATCCTAGGCCAATTTCAGATGCTGGTCTCAGAACAGAGCTGGGGAGAGGGATTTAGAATCTACTGTTGAGCTAGCCCCAGCCATCATTGAAAGGAATTATGGGGCCGGCGCCATGGCTCACTTGGTTAATCCTCCGCCTGCAGCGCCAGCATCCCATATGGGCACTGGGTTCTAGTCCTGGTTGCTCCTCTTCTAGTCCAGCTCTCTGCTGTGGCCCAGGAGGGCAGTGGAGGATGGCCCAAGTGCTTGGGTTCCTGCATCCACATGGGAGACCAGATAGAAGCACCTTGCTCCTGGCTTTGGATTGGTGTAGTTCCAGCCATAGCGGCCATTTGGGGGGTGAACCAACGGAAGGAAGACTTTTCTCTCTCTCTCTCTCTCTGTGTCTATAACTCTACCTGTTTAAAAAAAAGGAAGAAAGGAGTTACGAGTAAGGAATAAAGCAAAGGCACATGACAGAAGGTGGCTAATTTTTTCCTATTTCAGTTAAAATTTTTCATTTTATCCTCAAGTGTACCAGAAGAGTTGCCAGGAATGCCTTTATTATTGATTTTAAATCATTTTCACCAATATAGATGCCATGCCCCAAAGGAGGTCATATAATCTCAGGATTTGAATAAGTCACCAGGGGAGCAACATCCTTTTTTAGGTAAAGTAAATAGAAGTATGAGTTCTAAGGAGAAGTAAGATTTTTCAGCAACAGTGATGTTTCAGAGAACTTGAGTGTAAATCATATTTAAAGTAACATCCAAGTTTGAACATCTTAGGAATTCTTGAGCTTTCAATGGAAACTTGTAGTAAATACTTTCATAGAATGAACACCTGTTTGCAATATAAGAAGTACCTTCTGACTTATCTCCCTGATAAGTTTCTTCTAATTCAAAGTTTTCCAAAAGCAAGATATCCTTGTAGGTACCTAGAAGTATTCTTCTATGTGAACTCCTAAACTAAGTAGGCAATACAGTTCAGGGTCCCCAAAACTGTGTGGCAGGGGACAAGCTGAGCAGCAAGCCTATTTCTTGGACTCTTGCTAGTGCCACTCAACCAGGAGCTTGGGTGAGGCTCTGGAATTTGCCATTTGGACAAGTTCTATCGGTGATTCCTACACCACACTAAAGTTTGGCGATCACTATCTTTCAAGATTTTGGAATCTCCTCCCATCATAGTCAATGCAGATCTATATAAAGTCAGAGGTAGTCTTGCCTCACTACCAAGACAGTGGTATGATTTCAAGGACCCTGGAGGAAAGCTTAGAACCCTGCATATCATCTCACTATCTGAAGTTCTAATGAACACAATTCCCTAACTGGCAATCATTCTGTTCAGGTTAAGGCTGCTATTTCTTTCTTCCCTGGTTTTGTCATTGAAAAGATAGTGTATGGGGCTGAAGCTGTGGCGTAGTAGGTTAAGCCTCCACCTGGGGTGCCGGCATCCCACATGGGCACCATTTTGAGTCTAGGCAGCTCCACTTACAATCCAACTCCCTGCTAATGGCCTGGGAAAGCAATGGAAAGACGGCCCAAGAGGTTGGGCCCCTATATCCACATGGGAAACCCAGAAGAAGCTCCTGGCTTCTGGCTTCGGGTTGGCTCAGCTCCAGCCATTGCAGCCATTTATGGAGTGAAACAGATCAAAAACTTCTCTGTCTCTAACACTGCCTTTCAAATAAAAATAAATAAATAAATCTTTAAAAAAAAAAAAGAAAAGATCGCTTATTACCCATGGTTTCCAAGAGTAGAGGGCGTTTCAGGGCCACATGGAGAAGCACTGGGGTTGGTCAGGAGACAGGAAGAGTGAGAAGAAGGCATGGGATAGGGCATAAATTTTGCTTTGCATGGAAAGGAATGGATATGGCAGGGTAGGCAGGCTTGGGATTGGCTAACCTAGGTAGAAGACTCAGATCGTCTGCTATGTGGCCCAGGGAAATATTAGCCAGGAGTGTAAGTGCTCTGTGATAATGGTTGTTATTCCTGGGAAAGGAAACACTTTAAATGGCCTTAGCCACTTACACCCTAGTGTGAAGCAGCCAATAATCTTTTTAGAGAGAAAATGTGAGAACTGAAGTCTCATGATACATAAGGAGAGGGTTGTTATGGAGATAGACCAAAGTAATAGAGAGGCAAATCTGGAGCATCTAAAAATATCGCTTATTCCCTTTAAAATTTAGGAAAACCTGGACCTGGATGGGCTAGCTTGGGTTTCATTCTCTAGGTGGTTTTAGAGTTGTAGGGAACTTAAAATGTTGATTTTAGTCTTGGGAAATATTAGAAGCATCAGGACAAATCAAACCAACTATGTAGATCCAGAATAGCAAAATAGGTTTTATATCCCATGTCAACTCTAGCTGACTGACAGTAGCTACTTGGAACTCTACTAAGAAGACTGAGACACATCTAGAATACTGGGATTGATTAGTGATGTCTGCCTTGGTTATGGAATGGTTGTGGTGATATGTGTGATACTTATTTGCTATCTCTAATTTAGAAAAAGCCTGTATGGACACAGACTGAGGCAGCGATGCTTACACAATGTCTTCAGAGAAATTAGGGTTTAATACCTCTGGAGAACGGAGATAATCCAGAGTGCCGTCCTTCATGTTCTCCAGTGCTTCATTACTTGGGACAAAAATGGTATATGGTTTGCCAAACCCATCCTCATCTAAGGTACGTCCCACGCTGGTTTCCTGCATTTGAGAAAGGAAATTTTACATCTCTGACCTATTTTTGAAAAACATCCAAAATCATTCCCCAGAAAATATTTATAATTGAGTGCCCTGTGACTTATACAAAAGATGTAACACAAATATTTTCCAGAAATTTTTGAAAAGTATATACCTCCAACAAAGATCTGAATTTGCTGAATCTTGGTTGTAGCATTTGCATTATGGTTAGCTAAAGAGAGAGAGACATATTGATTAAAAACAGGTTAAAAAAAGTTGTTTTAAGAAACACAAACCCTAACATTAAAATGCTGAAGACAGAGTTTATGCATAAGTGTGGGTATATACCAAAGGACCAGGCCAACTGCAATGCATTATTCAAATGTTTGCTGCAATCCAGACCTGCGTATTCTGAAGTAGCCTTGGTCATCACCACGTACGTAAGAAGGAATAAATTTTATCTGATCAAGGACTGTCCTTCTACATAAATCACAAGGAATACATTTGAATGATGACTGGTCACTGGGCTGTTATCTTCTGTGACATAAAAGAGATAAACAAAATCCAGAACTTTCCCACATGGGTACTGCATGTCTTTCTCTAGGCAGAAATATTTAGAATTCTATTAGAAATGGACTAGTCATCCCCACTTCTCTATGCTTGAGATCCTAGGATAAGCACATGATGCTGGAAAATACTTGCTTTGTGAATGTGACTCTCTGAAGATGGATTTGCACTGAAGTCACTTGTACCTGAAATATCTCACCTCAGTGTTGCTCTCAAATGTGGGTGCTATCTTGTCCATGGCTCTATCAAGGATGTGCAAGAGTCCATTGGAAGCAATTATGTTTCCTTCTATAATTTTTACTGTATTTGTGGCTTCATGGAGTTTAAGCTTTAGGTCATTGTCCTAAAAAAACAAAGAAAGATAAAATTCATGTGGTATCCTGGAAGAAGCAGATACTGGACTAGAAGTCAGAAGTCCTGAATCCTTGGGTTCCGTTACTTATTGATGATATGATTTTTGGAGAAGCAATTTAATCTCACAAGGGGATCAAGGTCTCTGCTTGGTTGGCCTCACAGGTTTTTCATTAAGATTGGATGAAATAACAGGTGAAGCCATAATAAATATCAAATCTAAATGTGGGAAAGGCAGAACAAAACTTCTTTCTGGAGACTGCAACCCTTCAATCTGCTGTGAGTTCATCACTTGTATGCACAGAGAGGGCACAAAACAAAAATGTACTTGTTGAATGAATAATTGGAAGCTAATTCCTTCTTCTTCCCATGTATCTTCTGCAAATTAGACTTACTAAATATTTGTTGAATGAATGAGCAAATACATGTATGTCCTTTCTATCCATTCATCCACCCACCTCTGCAAACACTCATCTCTCCATCCATCCATCCTCATACACACAGTATAGAACTGGGTAAGGATACAGCCTTTGGAATTAGGTAGACTTGTATTTAAAATCCTGGCTGTGGCATGTACTGTGTGACTTCTACATTTTCCCCACAGGAAAAACAGGAATGATGATAGGGCCTCCTTCACAGGGTTCTTTGTACTCTTATATAACACAAATAGTCATCGACGGACTTTGCAGTGAACAAAAGCTCAATGATCTACTAACTATCACTATCTGGTGAAATGCAACAGTATCGGTCATAGTCCAGATGTCCACATTCTGCAGTTAAACACTTGCTTTCAGCTCCCAAAAGTCACAAAAGGAGGGGGAGGAGAGCATTTTATTTAAAAAGCAAGCAGAACTAGTGGCACTGGAGAGACGGAATGTGAAGTTGGGGAAGATGGATCACCCCCAGCAATCTAAAACAAACAACATCCATTTCTTTTGCCAAGGGGAATGCCGATCTGGCCTTGTGCGGAGGCTTCCAGGAAACAGGTTACAGCAATCTCTCTCTTCCTGCTGGCAGCTGGATGACTGCTGCCTTGAACACAGAATCAGACCAACCCCAATCAAACACTTGGCAACACCCTTGTGTTAGCGGTCCACCCCATCGTCTCTGACCTTCCCTGGTGTTTCTCTGCTTCTTCCTGTGTTGGGAAGTGTTTGGCAAACAAGAAATAAAGAAAGAAGTTCTTTGGAGCCTTTTAGAAACCCAAACAGAAGGAAAGAGAAGGCTATAGCTTGGCTTAGGGGACGATTCGGCTCTGGGAGTGACGAATCAGAGAGACACCTTACCTTATCACTGAAGATTTCCCCCGACTTCCCAGTCAAGGTGTAGAAGGTATCCATGGTGGTCAGCCTCTCAGTGCTCAACTGCCCAGCAATGACGTGGAGCTTCACAAAGTACTCAGCAGCTTCTTTATCCATCAGGAGCTCTTTTATCTAAGAAGAGAGAGCCAGCTTGACTGTTGGCTTCTAGGAAGAAATCAGTTTTGTAACACAAGTTGTGCCTTATTTTGCATCAAAGACATCTAAGCCATTGCAATCTGTATTGGTTTTGGGTCTTTGCTCAGATACAGATAACTTTCCTACAGCACTGCCTCCCCAGGGTGGGCCACAAAGGCAGTAGACATTGGGAGGTTTGGAGGTGATGCACAGCATGCTCTCAAGCCATGGGAAGCTGCTCAAGCACTGAAATCAATCCAGTGGGGAAAGCACAGCCATTGTGCCAAGAGGAGTGAGGAGGGGGTTGCACCAAGGAATCTACCTTGAGCCCAGGAAGAGGAATGAAATATGAAGTTTAGTGAAAAGAGCAGGTAGAGTGACTGCCAATGCTTTGAATAGTGAAGTCGGATTTTTCTAATCCATTGTAAAAAGTCTACACTTTGTGACAGCTATAGTCACTACACATCAACACATTAAATTGGCAGAACTTAATAAACATATACATTTGGCATAAACTTAATCTGTACATTAAACAAGAGGCCACATGCAGAGTGCCTAGGCCAGAGGCAAGCCATATTTGCCGGTTCTCCTCCCCAGCAGGACAATTACGAGGTCATCACTACAGGTGCACAGTAGGCAGACTAAACTCTGAGAGACTGGCTCATCTCTGACAGACGGGGGTGGCAAACCTGGAACTTACTGGGTGTTGATTTAGTGCTACAGAAGTTATTACAGCCCAAGTTTTAAGAAATGTGTTTCTCCAAGAGGCGGACACACAGAGAGAAACAGAGAGAGAGAGAGAGAGAGGATTCCAACATGGTGGAAGAGCAACAGGTCAATCTGCTCTAGTCTAGGCGAGAGAGAGAGAGAGCAAGCGAGCGAGCATCCTTAGGGGGAGAGTTGGAGGGAGGAAAAACTGCAGTGGAGATTCTGCAGGAGAGATGCCATGGTCTGTGTGGAAGGTGCAGACACTCAGCAATGAGCACGGATACAACAAAGGACTCCAGCAGCCCTGAGTCAGAGAAAGGGCCAGCTTTGGAGAGCAAGGACAGATCAGACTGCAGTGGCCCATGCCACTGGTGATATAGCCAGAGGGAGAACCTGGCAGACTACACTGTCTTTGCATCCAGCCCACAGTCCTGACAACAACAGGGTGCCTACTCACCCAGAGAAAAAGGAAAGGGGCACGTTTCTCTCTTCCCATCCCCCCCCACAATGGCACCTGGCAACCGGCTGAGAGAGGACGGGTGCCATTTTGGCATAAGCAGGTAGCAGCAGTGCACCCAGAGTGTACCCAGCAACTGGGCAGGAACAGTTGCTGTCTTGTCAGCAGAGGCAACCACAGCGGCCCTGAGTACCCAGCCATGGGTGGGGAGAAGGAGACCTTCTCAAGTGCAGAGACTCTTGAATGTGCCCAGCATGATGGTGAAATGAGCAGGGCTGTGGCCAGTGGATATTGTGCACGCATATGATCCAGGGAAAACTCTGCTTTCCACACTGACTCTGAGTCTGGCTGGGAAGACGGACAGGGGGCTGGCTGGGCACCCACATGTGACTATGAGGTGCCTCAGGCTTCTCCTTATATCACAAGTTCCAGGGCTCAAACTACCTAGGTGGAGCATCCACAGGCAGCTGGCTCTGGGGACATCCCAGCTTCTCGGGTTGGGACAGGGTAGTGGGGCAGCGTGGATCCTCTCTGTACCCTGTGACTGTGGGAGCCCTGAGTGTTGAGACTGTGGAAACTCTGTGACTGCATGAGAAGGCACAGGGTGTAGCTGGGTCTCTGGGCAATCACTGTGTGCGGATCCACATGCTCTGAGCTCCCTGATTGCCTGGGGTGGCTCGTTGCAGCAGGATCCATGTTCACACGGAAGACTGCACAGATCCTGTGTGTAGTTCATGCAAGTGTGGATGAGTATCACACTCACTGAGGGCTGACACCTGGGCATTGATCACCTTGGAAGAGAGGAGGTGAGGGTATGATTATGCCAATAGAGGTGACCATACACCCCCTTCCTTCTGTTAACAAGAGATCTTCCATGCCCAACTTGGGTGTAACTCTGGATACTTGCCCCATCCTGGAACACTGATCAGAGCTCTCTGGCCACATCCAGCAATCACCTCTGAGTATTCACTGAAGGAGCAGACCCTCCACTAAGCTACAGAGGTATAGTTCAAAGATAAAAGCCATCAGAGGAAAAAACCAGTAAGTATCTCCACAAATGCCTAAAAATAAATGCAAAACTTCAAGAAACAAAATTAAAGACAACATGACCACCCCCCAAAAAGAAACACAACACTTCAATATTAGAATGCAAAGATGAAGAGACTGATGAAATGTCTGAAACAGATTTGAAAATATTAATCATAGGATTACTAAGAAGCAATGAGAAGCAAATCCATGAATTAAAGAAGCCCATACATGACATGAATGAAAAAATTTCCTACAAAATTGAAGTTTTAAAGAGAAATCATAACGAAATATTAGAAATGAAGAATTCAATAGGCTAAATAAAATATGTGGTAGAAAGTCTTAACAACCATCTTGGTGAGGCAAATGAAAGAATATCCAAGCTAGAATACAAATCTTTGGAAATTTTTCAGTAAGACCAAAAGACCAAAAAAAAAAAAAAAAAGAAGAAGAAATTAGAAAAATCATAAACAGGGTTGGAGATTTATCGGATACTATAAAATGATCCAATAACAGATCTTAGAAGATTCTGAAGGCATGGAAAGAGAGAATGGTTTAGAAGGCCTATTTAGTGAAATAATTACAGAAACTTTCCCAATTTGGTTAAAGAAATGATGTTCAAATACAGGAAGCACATAGAACTCCTAATAGACATGACCAGAAAAGTTCTTCCCCATGACATATTGTAGTCAAATTTTCAACAGAAAACATAAAGATACTAAAATGTGCATGAGAGAAACGCCAGATTGTTTTCAGAGGATCTCCAATTAGACTCACAGCTGACATCTCATCAGATACTCTACAGGCTGGGAGAGAATGGAGAGACATAGTTCAAGCCTTAAATGAAAAAAATAAAACTGTCAACCCAGAATACTATACCCTTCAAAGCTCTCATTTATTAATGAAGGTGAAATAAAGAATTCCATAACAAACAGAGGTTGAAAGAATTTGTCACCATTTATTCAGACTTAGAAAAGATACTTAAGGATATACTACACACAGAAACACAGAAAGAGAGTCATTATTATGAAAGAATGTAAAGACAGTAAATCTCCCAGTAAAAGTACAAAAGAAACCCAAGGCAAACAAAAGGAATATTTATGGAAAAATGGCAGGGCTGAGTCGTTACTTGTCAGTAGTAATCTTGAATGTGAATGTCCTAAACACTCCGGTTAAAAGATACACAGACTGGCTGAAATGAAAAACAAGACCCATCTATTTGCTGCCTGCAAGAAATGCACCTCATAAACAAAGATAGATGTAGACTGAATATGAAAGGATGGAAAAAGATACTCCATGTCAACAGATTTTAGGCAAGAAACTGTTAAGCGGCCAGCGCTGTGGTGTAGTGGGTCAAGCTGCCGGCTGCAGTGCCAACAGCCCATGGGGCACCAATTCAAGTCCTGGCTGCATCACTTCTAATCCGGCTCTCTACCACGGCTTGGGAAAGATGGGCGAAGTCCTTGGGCCTCTGCACCCACACCCCACTTTCAACAACGGACAGATCAACTAGATAGAAAATCAACAAACAACAGAGCTAATCGACACTGTGAACCAAAGGGACTTAACTGATATCTGCAGAACTTTTCATCCCACAGTTGCAGAATATACATTCTTCTTATTGGTGCATTGAACTTTCTCTAGTATAGATCGTATGCTAGGCAATAAAGCAAATCTCAGCAAATTAAAAAAAACTCATACCATGCATCTTCTCTGAGCACAATTGAATGAAGCTCAAAATCAGCAACTCAAGAATCTCTAGAACATATGAAAACATATGGAGACTGAACAACATGCTTCTGAATGAACAGTAGGTCATAGAAGAAATCAAAAGAAAAATAAAAAATTTTTGGAAATGAATGAAGATGACAATACAATGTATCAAAATTTATAGGATACAGCAAAAGCAATGTTAAGAAGCAAAGTTTGTAGCAATTGTGCCTACATCAAGAAATTGGAAAGATACCAAATAAATGAGCTAGCAATGCATCTCAAGTACCTAGAAAAACAAGAACAAACCAAACTCAAAATTCGTAGGAGGAAAAAAATAATTAAAATTAGAGAAGAAATAAACACAATTGAAAAATAAACTACAAAAGTTCAGTGAAATGAAGAGCTGGTTTTCTGAGAAAATAAAATTGGCACACCATTGGCCCAACTAACAAAAAAAGCAAGAGAAGATCTAAATCAATGAAATAAAAAAGAAAAAGGAAATGTAACAACAGATACCACAGAAATAAAAAGAATCATCAGGAATTACTACAAATAGCTGTATACCAACAAATTAGGAAGCCTAAAGAAACAGGTAGATTCCTGGAAACACAATCTATCAAAATTGAGTCATGAAGACATAGAACAGACCAATAACCAAGATGGAGTTTGAATCAGTAATAAAGACCCCTCCTAATGAAGTAAAGCTCAGGACCAAATGCTTCCCTGCTGAATCCTACCAGACATTTAAAGAACTAATTCTAATTCTTCTCAAGCTATTCAAAACAATTAAAAGGGAGGAAATCCTCCCAAAATCCTTCTATGAAATCAGCATCACCTTAATTCCTAAACAACAAAAAGATACAACAGAGAACTATAGACCAATACCCCCAGTGAACATAGATACAAAAATCCTCAACAAAACACTAGCTAACTGGATCCAACAAACACATTAAAAAGATCATTCATCCAGACCAAGTGGGATTTATCTCTGATATGCGGGGATGGTTCAACATTCAAAAATCAATAAAAGCATACATCTCATTAACACAAACTGAAAAGCAAAAACTATACAGCTATGTCAGTAGTCGCAGAGAAAGCATTTGATAAAATACAAAACCCTTTCATGATGAAAATATTAAGCAAACTAGTATAGAAGGAACACTGCCCAACACAATAAAGGCAATCTATGACAACCCCACAGCCAGTATCATATTGAATTGGGAAAAGCTGGAAATGTTCCCCCTAAGATTCAGAGCCAGACAAGGATGTCCACTCTCACCACTGCTATTCAATATAGTCCTGGGAATTTTAGCCAGAGCCGTTAGGCAAGAAAAAGAAATCAAAGGAATACAAATTGGGAAGGAGGAAGTCAAACTATCCCTATTTGCAGATGACATGGTTCTATATACAGGGGATCCAAAAGACTCCACTAAGAGATTATTGGAACTCATAAAAGACTATGTTAAAATGGTAGGATATAAAATTAACACTCAAAAATCAATAGCCTTTTATACATAGACAATACCATGGCTGAGAAAGAACCTTTAATATCAGACCCATTCACAATATCTACCAAATTATTAAATACCTTGGAAAAATTTAATTAAGGTGATAAAAGATCTCTATAATGAAAATTACAAAATACTAAAGAAATAGAAGAAGACATAAGAAAATGGAAAAATCTTCCATATTTATGTATTGGAAGAATCAACATCATCAAAATGTCCATACTACTGAAAATAATTTACAGATTCTATGAATTCCTAATCAAAATACATTCTTTTCAGATCTAGAAAAATTTTAAAATTCATATGGAAACACAACAAACCCCAAATATCTAATACAACAAAAACAAATTGGAGGCATCAAAATATCAGATTTCAAGACATACTGTGGGGCAGTTATAATCAAAACAACCTGGTACTGGCACAAAGAGAGACATGTAGACCAATAGAACAGAATAGACTCCAGAAATCAATACACACATCTACAAACAAAGGAGCTAAAATCCACCCATAGAGCAAGGACAGTCACTTTGACAAATGGTGCTGGGACAACGGGATCTCTGTGTGCCAAAGTATGAAACAAGACCCCGACTTTACATCTCACTCTAAAATTCATTCAAAACAGAACAAAGACCTAAATCTATGACCTGATAATATCAAATTACTATAGAACATTGGGGAAACTCTGGTAGACCTTGGCACAGGCAAAGACTTCTTGGAAAAGACCCCAGAAGCACAGGCCAAAATTGACAAATGGGATTGCACTGCAAAAGAAACACTCAGCACTGTGAAGAGGCAACTGATAGAATGGGAGAAAATATTTGCAAACTGTGCAGTTGATAAAGGATTAATATCTAGAGTCTACTGGGGGCTGGTGCCATGGCTCACTTGGTCAATCCTCTGCCTGTGGTGCCGGCATCCCATATGGGCTCCGGGTTCTAGTCCCAGTTGCTCCTCTTCCAGTCCAGCTCTCTGCTGTGGCCCAGGAGGGCAGTGAAGGATGGCCCAAGTGCTTGGGCCCCTGCACCCGCATGGGAGACCAGGAAGAAGCACCTGGCTCCTGGCTTCAGATCGGTGCAGCACCGGCCGTAGTGGTCATTTAGGGAGTGAACCAATGGAAGGAAGACCTCTCTATCTCTGTCTATAACTCTACTTGTCAAATAAAATAAATTAGAAAAATATATATCTAGAATCTATAAAGAGCTCAAGAAATTTAACAAAACAAACAATCCAGTTAAGAAATGTACAAAGGACTTGAATAGGCATTTTTCAAGAGAGCAAATTTAAATGGCTAACAGACACTTGAAAAAAGTGTTCAGGATCAATAGCTATCAGAGAAATGCAAATCAAAACCACAATGAGGTTTTACCTTACTCCAGTTAGAATGGCTCTCATACAGAAATCAAAAAGCAATAAAGGCTGGTGAGGATGTGGGGGAAAAGGTACCCTAAACCACTGTTGGTGGGAATGTAAACTAGTACAGCCATTGTGGAAGACAGTATGTAGACACCTCAGAAATCTGAATATAGACCTACCATATGATCCAGTCATCTCACTCCTGGGAATTTACCAAATGATAAGAAGCCAGAATATGAAAGTGCAATCTGTACTTCCATTTTTATTGCAGCTCAATTCACAATAGCTAGGATATGGAATCAACTCAGATGCCCATCAACTGATGACTGGCTAAAGAAATTATGATATATATACACTATAGAACTCTACATAGCAGTAAAATAAGGAAATCATATCTTTTACAACAAATTGGATGCAATGGGAAACCATGATACTTAGTGAAATCAGTCAGTCCCAAAAGGACAAATACTACATGTTCTCCCCGATCTATAGTAATAGAGTACCAAAATGGTGTCTATAGAATTGAAATTGACACTTTGAGATGCGATGATTTTTTAAAAAATTTTATTGTTTTTTGACAGGCAGAGTGGACAGTGAGAGAGAGACAGAGAGAAAGGTCTTCCTTTGCCCTTGGTTCACCCCACAATGGCCGCTGAGGCTGGCACGCTGTGGCCAGTGCACCGCGCTGATCCGAAGCCAGGAACCAGGTGCTTCTCCTGGTCTCCCATGCGGGTGCAGGGCCCAAGCACTTGGGCCATCCTCCACTGCACTCCTGGGCCATAGCAGAGAGCTGGCCTGGAAGAGGGGCAACTGGGACAGAATCTGGCGCCCCGACCGGGACTAGAACCCGGTGTGCCGGCGCCGCAGGTGGAGGATTAGCCTAGTGAGCTGTGGCACCAGTGAGATGTGATTATTTTTAATAGCCCTTGTTTCAACTGTTGAGGAACAGTGGGTTTTTTTCTTCATATTATTTGTTGAACTCTTTTCTTAGTGTAGGGTTAATCTTATGAGTATAAAGGTAACTGAAAATTGAGCTTTGTAAAAAATAAGAATGGGAATAGGAGGAGGAGGAGAAAGAAGGGTGGGAGCATGGGTGGGTGGGAGGGTAGGAAGGAAAGTATTATCTTCCTAAATCTGTATATATGAAATACATGAAATTTGTACATGTTAAATAAAATTAGAGGGGGTGAGGGAGGATGGTGAGTGGAGAGGAGAGGAGAGGGAAAAGGGAAGGAGGAGGAGGAGGGAAAGGGAGAAGGGGAATGGGGGGAGGGAGGGAGAGAAGGAGAGATATTGATTGATTTCTTCTCCTCTGAAATAGCTAGGGCCGGGCCCAGGCTGAAAACAGGAGCCGGAAATGTCATCCAAGTCTCCCCTGCGGATGGCAGGGACCCAGCTTGAGCCCATCACCTGCTGCCTCCCCGGGTACTCATTAACAGTAAGGAAGAATAAGGAATGGAGACCAGACTCAGACATTCCAATATGGGATGTGCATCTCCTAAGTGGCATCTTAACTGCTATGCCAAATGCCCACCCCTAGTAAAGCTGGCATCACCTATTAAATCTCATTGCATTCACCCTTCAGGGGAGAGTTAAGTACTCACATTGAATCCTTTCAATCCTTTGTCTGAGGGCAGCAACACAGTGAATGGTCCCAGGTTACTCAGTGGCCAGGCATAAGTTTTGTCTTAGGAGTCAAAATACACAAAGAAAAAAAAAAAACTCCAGTGGGTCAGTGGTATATGAGGAATAAAATCAGGCAGCAGCCTTACACCCCAATTTGTCCCCACAGGCCCTTCTCTGCTGTAATTTCTGCATGCAGACCCTCTGTAAACTGTGAAGCTCTCTACAAATATAAAGCCCTGTGAAACCATCGCCTCAACGTATTCCACATAATTCTAGAAGTTTCCATGAAGACACTTGATTTCAAGGATATGCTGGGATGAACAGTTTAGATAGGACATCATCCTCTGACATCCCCAGGGTCCTGGTCTTTAAGTCTGACTTTATGAGCAGACACCATTTCAGGGAGCAGATATAGCTCTTGTTTCCACTCATGCCAGCCCAGGAAAGTGCTACACTTGAGAGAACACTCTGCTACTGCCATCTTGAAATGCTTAATTAATTTTGAACAAATAAGCTCCCATTTTCATTTTGCATTGGGTTCTATGAATTAGGTATCCAGAGCTATTTGCGTAGCCCTGGTGCAGTTTGGGACAGCAAGATAGGCTGTATTCTCACACAGGAAGTAGTGTGTACCAGCACTTTGCAATGGCGGGGGTGGGGGGGTAGTGTGAAGTCAATAGGACTCTGTCCAGGGAAACATGTGAGGGCCCAGTCTGCAAAAAGATAATCCATCATTGCTGTCTGCTCCCATTTGATATTCTCAGAGTCCTTAGGGGAAGGCTGCAAGGAGCTGGCACATTGCCCTGAGCCCAGCAATGCCAGCTTGACTGTGCAGGATGCCTTGGAAAGAGGAGAACATTTTTGCAGGATGTGCCTTAACATTTATGCAGGGAACACAGCATTGACTCATCAGTGTACTTCATTACTTGTGTTCTTTCTGTGAAATCAGCTTTGGTGCCTGGTAAATTCTAATTTAAATGCTGACATTTGAAGGCTACTTCTGATTGGTCAAGCCCTGTATTTTATGTTTTGTTGACTGGATACGTTTGCATGTCACTGGAAGTCTAGGCCAAGGCTCTGCTCAGTGATCCTATTTCATTCTTCATGACTCATAGCTGAATGTCTCAGGTTGTCCCCTACCAGGAGGCCTGGAGGAAGATGCATCACCCCAGAAAATCAGTGTTTAGAGGACTGAGGGTGCTGGGATGGCTGCATACAACCAAGCCTATCCTCAGATTCAAGCAACTTCTCCCCTGAGGAACATGGATACTGCCCAGGGTCACAGTCATTTTCTATTCCCAGTTTCACTGGCTAATTGTAGTTCACCCTAGAAGGAACCATAAGCTCAAGGGGTTAGGAGATGGTACCCATCCTTACATTAGTAGCTCTCCCCATCTTACTGCTTTTGCAGGTCTGGTTAATCCATAGTGACCCCAGGACCTTGTCCTTAGTGCTACGCCTACCAATTCCTGCTTGTCTTATTGGAAACAGCTGCCTGGCCTTTCCCTCCAATCTGCGTGGCCTCTCACTAGAAGGGCTGATCCCAGGAGATGTGCCTTGCCTATCTTTTTCTGAATGATTGTGTCTTGTAGATGCCTTTGCCTCTAGGAGGGTTGACTTTCATGTGGAAATTTTTACCCAGAGCTGCATACCTAGGAGTGAGATGAAAGAGATCAGCTTTCCTTGCCATTTTCCTCTGGGTTCGGTGTTTAATTCTCTGAGTCGTTCCATGATATTGCCATAACACACTGAGCCATCACCCACGTAGCCTTTCTGGCAAGTGCATCTACAGAGAGGATGAAAACAAAGTCTCAGGATCTTGGAGCCATTGAAGGTCGAGATCATAAAATCCAATGCTCTTACTTAACAGAGAGGGAAAACAAGACCAGACGAGGCACAGACATGAGTCAGCATTTTTAGTGCAGTAGCCAACTTAGACATTCCAGGAGGGAATATTTAATAAATTATGAACAGTTATAAACACTAGATACCTTTGTATGCTTTTAGGCTCATTGTTTTCCAAAGTATGGTCAAGAGACCATGTGCATCAGAATTACTTGGAGCACCTATTACAAATGTAGATTCTAGGGCCCCACTGCTGAATCCACAGCAGAGCAAGGCCCTGAAGTCACTCTAGAAGACTGTTAAGGCTCAGGACTATCGGTCTCCTGGGGACACTCTTGCCCTCTCCCCTTCCATGCTGCGATCCCTGCGCAACTGTCTGCCCCTCAGCCTTCCTCGGGGGCTCCACCTCCCTCACTGTGGATCAGGCCCCCACTCCCCTCTTATCTACACTCTTTTGGAACATGTGACTTTTCTGTAGCCACCATCACAGCCGTAATTGTTTTCTATTTGTGTGGCTATTTGGTTTATAACTGCTTCCATATCTAGTTTGAGAAGTGAATGAGGGCAAGGAGTCTGTGTCCATGGCTGTAACCCCAGGATCTAGCACAGGGCTAGGTCCACAGTAGGCACTTCATTCCTGGTTAAACAGTAAAATTAAGCCAAATACATAAGGGAAACAATGAAATCACTGATATAAACAAACTAAAAAGCAAAGTCATGGAAATTTTATGCGAAAGTTTTGTTATAAGAGAGAAATAATTAAAGGTGCTCTAGCAGTGGTGTGGGTAAAATTTAACAGCCAGCTCTCCTGGAGGGAAAAAAGCCCTGATTTGCAGCCTTTGTCAATTTCCATAACTCAAACTCACATTCTGGCCAATTTTAAACTACCCACGTGACCCCAACTAGCTTATACAATTCCTGAAAATGCAACGCTCTCATCTTGTGAGTCAGTCACCCCCGGCTGCAGCACACCACAGCTACCTAGCAAAGCACTTGACAGCTGGCTGATGATGATGCCCAAGTACACAGAGAGGTGACATTCACCGGGATCCTGAGGGTGAGTGTGGAACCAAACCGGAGGCAGGGGAAGAACATTCCAGAGGGGAGAGATGTGGGGAGCCAAAGATGGGCTATGATGACATCATGATTTTACTGTGGTTATACCATACCACAGCTGTGACTCACGTTAGGAGAGCATTCCAAAGAATAGCTACATGCTTGTTAGCCTGGTTAGGTTTCTAAATATGGTTCTGTGGAAAATAGATTTTCAACAAGTTGGTTGAACAGTCTCTGTGTGGAACATCCATCACCCTCTGCCTGGACTATTGCAATGGGCACCTCACTCATCTTTCTGCTCTCAGACCGGTCCTTCACTCAACCTCCTGAGTGACCTTGCTGGAAAGGAAAGCTGGCACCTGTGTGTTTCAAACACTCACGACTCCTTTCCTGTACAGGACAAGGTGTGAGCAGAGGGATCTTGCCATGTCTTCTTCCTCCTGTCACTGCAAATTCAAGCAACACCAAACTGCTTTCTTTTTTTAAAGATGTATTTATTTATGTGAAAGAGTTCCGGAGAGGCAGAGAGAGAGAATCTTCTGTCCACTGGTTTACTCCCCAAGTGGTTGCAATAGCAGAGTCTTATCTGGGTCTCCCATGTGGGTGCAAGGGTCCACGGACTTGGGCCATCTTCCTCTGTTTTCCCAGGCACATTAGCAGGGAGCTGGATTAAAAGTGGTGCAGCTGGGACTCTAACTGGCGCCTATATGGGATGCTGGCGCTGCAGGCAGCAGCTTTACCCACCATGTCACACAGTGCTGGCCCCAGAACTGCTTTATTATGAAGGCTGTGGGGCCTTCCTCAGGCTGTTTGTCCTGCCAGGAATGTCCTACCCTTATCTTAGCTCAGAGCATCTTAGGTGCGGCCTGCAGTGTCATCTGACCCCCTGCTTCTCTCTGGCTGGGTTGAGCATCTGTGGATGCCACCACCATGACCCTCTGGAGATGTTGACTCCTGTGGCAGACAGGAAGCTCTCCCAGAACACAGGTCCCTCCTTATTCCTTGTTATATCCCAACACCTAGGAAGCACCGCATTGCTGACTTGATTATTTACTGAGTCACTACTTAATTCTAGGAAGTTGCTTGGTAAGGGGACTATAAAGACAATGATAACAAACATCTGATCCTTCTAGTCTGACATGCTGGGTCAGATCTGAGAACAAAAAATACAGCAACCTGATAAGGTCACTAAACGTCCTCAGCCTGTTTCCTAGTCTATTAAATGGGTTTAGCAGTACTGTTAGGGTTATTGACAGAAAAGACAATGAAGGACAAACAGCACAGTGAACAGGCCACGGAAGATGATGATGAGAACAGTGACAAGGGCGATCTCAAGGATGGGAGTGAAAGATACAAGGACAACAGTAATGTGGAGGTGCGGGGGGTGTAGCAGGACAAGTCCAGGAACAGATGACTTGAATTCCACGGAAGTACCATAGGGGAAGGTAGAACAGGAAGCTGCACAGCATGGAGGAGAAGGGACTGCTTTTCCTGGAGAAACAGAGGGCGGCTTCCAGGGGAAAGCAACATTGAAGCTGATTCTAGAAGGATGCAGGTGAGTTTCCCAGTGGGACAAAGGATGGGGGATTATTTGCTTATGGGGCCTTTCAGAGGCTTTGTCAAATTGTGCCTCTCAACCATGGATGATAACGCTCCCCTCCTCCCCCCTCCACCAAGGACATCTGGCAATGTCTGGAGTCCTCTTTGGTTGTCACGACTGGGGTGAGAAGCTCCTGGTCTCTGGCCAGTAGAGACAGAATGCTGCCAAACACCATGTAGCTTATAGGTCAGCCCCCACAACAAAGAAATGTCCCCCCAAAATGCCAGAAACATCGCATAAGGAATTGCTATGGGAGTAAGACAAAATCCTGAATTCTAGGGACTGAGAATAAAGAACTAATTTTCAGAGAGAGAGAGCTCTTAAGCATGAAAGCTCGGTGCATGAGTACAATCAAATCAGTTTCCCACTTCAGTGTCAACTTCTCTGCAAGTGCCACATCTGCTGACTTAAGAAGGGGGAGGAGGAGGTTGTACACTGGAAAAGTGACGCAGTAGCCAATTCTGAAAAGTAATTCTGCTATCAATGACGTGTTTCCTGTGAAGACAACTGCTGACAGCAGGACAAGTAAGCTTTAAGAACCAAAACTCCTCAGGTTGTAATGAGGCTGGTGGTCTGTTTTGTGTAAGGGAGAAGTGAAATTTAGTGACCTCAATGCTGCATGGAATGTATGAGACATAAATATTTTTAATCATTAAAATCTTGATTCAAAGTCAGACTTTTATTTAAAATCTTGGTCTAGAATCTGACTTCAATGGTTTCCATTAGGCCTGGGCACACATGTAGCCTTGTCTCTTTTTGCAAATTTTTTTTTAAAGTTAGGGGTGAATGTCACCTGCTGTTGGAAGATTAACACCTGAAAGCTATTTTGCATCTTATAAGTTATGGTTTGGCATTCATTACACTTCATGCTCAATGAGATTTAGGGTGTCCCATGCCTCTCAGTACC